CCAATCCCCCACCCACCCGCACCATAGCCACCCCCCAAGAGCCTAGTGGTGTATGTGGTGAGACCCAGTGGGAGGGGTAGGGGATATAGTCCCCCCCCAGGTAGCCAGGTTCCCGACTGGCACCTGAGATGGACCCCCCATAGCTGCTCCCAGACGCGGAGGTACAGGACATTTTTCTACTTTTGTTTGCGTCTGCTGTCATGCAGGTGTGGTAGTTTTCTAAATTAATAATTACATACAATAACCCTGTTTGAAACCATTACTCTCTAAAGTGTACATAAACACTCACACATTTAAAAACACTTGTACATAATTCACGTACTAGAGCATTGTACTGAACCTTATTTAAACCAGCAGCAGGGATCCAGAGATCAACCTTGTAGATGACGGTAACAGAGCAGATGATTGTGGGTCAGAATGACCAGAAAAAAAGTGCAGAATCCAGCAGATGTATTTGAACATGGGGGTGTCAGACACAACAAGTCTTTTCCAGGTTTACGGCATGGTATGGAAGTACAGATACTCAACGCACCATGACACTCGAATAATCTTTTTACCCAGGATGCATCACCAGGAGGCCTGTCGGAGCTCCAACAACAGGAAGTGATGACGGAGGATTTTCTGTCCAACGACGAGTACGAGTGTGCGTCGCCAGACGACATCTCCCTGCCGCCGCTGGCAGAGACGCCTACGTTCCAATCAGATGTTGAGGAGGGTTTCTGCTTCAGCTCCAACATCAACCAATGCAGCCAGCAGGACCAGCCAGAACCAGTCGATAGTGGAACAGTCCGGCAGCAGACAGAGAATTGTCCAACTCCTCCCACTAGCCTTCAGAGCTGTACAAGGTCTGTATCCAGTCTGCACTCCAGGAAATAGCCACATCCCTGCACTGACAGGTTGCTGTGCTAACTGCAGTCACAGTCAAACAGGACTTAAATTGGTTATTGATTAAACAATCAAAGATTAAGCTGATGAAGCTGCTTTTGATTGCAGCATGACATTTGTGGCATATAGGCTTGGCTTTATTAGCCACTTAGTTATAGCAATCATATTGAACACTGCAGTTTCACTTTGGAGATGGCATTTCTTTCTTTTTCTCAAATTCTTCTTTTGTTTGATATTTAAGAAGCTGAGTCTAAATCTGATCCGACAGATTCTAAGTTTCAGTGCTGCAGCTTTCTGTTATAATTTTGTTAGCTGGACAGTCCTGAGGATTGACATTCGTCCCCTTGACCTCTGGAAAGAGGTTTGTGGGTACCAGGTGCCGCCAGCCCACCATTCAGACTGATGTTGTTCCTGCTGTGTGTTGCAGGTTCAGATCAGAGTCCGACTCAGTTCAGACAGTTCCTGGTCCGAGCTCCCTGAGCAGCATCCTGAGAACCACAGAGGCCAACACCACTAACACTCCCCTGAGGGCCCACCTCTCCCAGGGCAGCCCCAAACCAAAAACCCCCTCTGGATCAGTCCAGGAGAGCAGCACCAGAGACAAGAACCATGCTGTCTCTGAGAGAATTCCCTCTCCTGCTCCTCGAGCCAATCCAGCTCCACCGACCGATCCCACTCCTCTGGCCGATCCCACTCCAGAGGTCCATCCCACTCCTCTGGCTGATCCCACTCCTCTGGCCAATCCCCCTCCTCTGGCTGATCCCACTCCTCAGGCTGATCCCACTCCAGAGGCTGATCCCACTCCTCTGGCCGATTCCACTCCGGAGGCCCATCCCACTCCAGAGTCCCATCCTACTCCTCTGGCCAATCCCACTCCACAAGCTGATCCCACTCTCGAGGCTGATCCCACTCCTCTGGCTGATCCCACTCCAGAGGCTGATCCCACTCATCTGGCCGATTCCACTCCGGAGGCCCATCCCACTCCAGAGTCCCATCCTACTCCTCTGGCCAATCCGACTCCTCAAGCTGATCCCACTCTCGAGGCTGATCCCACTCTCGAGGCTGATCCCACTCCAGAGGCTGATCCCACTCATCTGGGCGATCCCACTCCTCAGGCTGATTCCATTCCAGAGGCCGATCCCACTCCTCTGGCCGATTCCACTCCGGAGGCCCATCCCACTCCAGAGTCCCATCCCACTCCAGAGGCTGATCGCACTTCTAAGGCCGAATCCACTCCAGAGGTCCATTCCACTCCTCGGGCCGATCCCACTCCTCAGGCCAATCCCACTGAAGAGCCCGATCCCACTCCTGTGGCCGATCCCACTTCAGAGGCCAATCCCACTCTGGCCAATCAAGACCCCAGCGACAACACAGAGCTTCACACATGCAGCTCTCTTGTCTGTGCAAACAGCACCGAGCCACAGTGGAGCCTTCATCAGAGCTTCTTCCAACCTGAGAGGGAAACCAGAACCCAAAGAGAAGGTGATAGCAGAACCAGAACTGGTTCAGTTAGCAAGCAGACCGTTCACCTCCAGTCCTTTCCTTCAGGCAGTCAGTTTATCAGGCCTGAGAACAGAAGCTCCTCATCAATCCATCTCAGTCCTCTTCAGTCTGACCTGGACTCCAGAAGGCCTAATCAGGACAAACTTTCCTCTCAAAGCAGCAGGAGCATCCTGACCACGACTTCCACCACCCAGCAGACAGTTTGCAGTCAGTCCTGCCTGTCAGATGGTCTGTTCTGTGTCCCACAGAACAGCATACCTCAGGACTACGGGGACCGGCCCAAAAACCGACCTGCCGGCGCAGTCAGTAGCATCAGTATTAGTAGCAGTAACACACTGAGCTGCCATCATACCGTCTCTTCGATCCATGAGTCCCATACCTGCACCTGTACACAGCAGTATGTGCATGACCCTGGCATGCCTCCCAGCAGTTCCACCCGGCCCAGCACTCCTTCGTGGAACCCAGCTTTGGCACAGCTGGCTAACCCGCATGTTCTGCCCCTGTCCTCTCCACCCCATCTACTAACTCCAGACCAGGACCCAGACATTTGTCTGCCCATGGCCATCCGAGAGGAGATCCAGCTTACTCCTCAGATCCAGGGGCCTCCTGTTCCTGCCCCTCCTCAGCCAGAGTCTCTTCCCCAGGGAAAAGCCTCTCATTCTGGCCCTCCCTGCTTCACCAGGCCCTTGTCCAGAGCCACCGTCATGGAGGGCTCTCCAGTGACACTGGAGGTGGAGGTGACGGAACACCCAGAGCCCAGGCTCACCTGGTGGGTAGCATACAACAAGCTCCACAGTAACACACAAGCTAAATGAGAACATTAACTCCACAGCTCACATCAGGCTCCTTTACACCTGCATTAACATGAGCTCTGCAGCCGGATCACATGTACCCACATTAACCCTCTAAACCCCAAGATGTCTCTGGGCATCACATTTGCCTTCACTGAGGTTCATGTTTCTCTGCAACATAAAGTCCTGCAGCTCTGTGGAACCAGAACATGAAGGAGGAGAGAGAAGTCAGAGATGTCTTCTGTCAGCAGGACTCAGAACCAGGAGACCAGATTATTCTTGGATTGTTTATTTTACAAAAATGTATAAACTTGAAATCAACATGTTTCCACAGATGTTACAAATGCTGGAAAACAGAGGCTCCATGTACTGTAGATATTTAACTATTTACATTTTTAATTAGCTGGCTTCCTCATCTTTTCTCTGCTCTGTGGAAACACTGCTGCAGTTCACCTGAAAACTCAGAATATTTCACTGTTGGTCACAGCTGAGTCAGTGGTGGAGGATCAGTTGTGCTAAGAGGTGAAGAATTGTTTTGGGGTTTTTTTTCAGAATCTGGCTCAAGCCAATCTTTAATTTTTTGTCACTTTTTTAAAAGAGACATGTAGAATTAAGTGAACTTGATTAAATATTACGATTTTAAGCTGAAGTTTGGTTCATTATCCTGACGGAACTCAGGCAGGATCTGGGGTTAGCAAGGGAGCTTCAGGTTAAATCCTGGGTTTTCAGTCCTATGGTGGTGGTTCTCTTCTTACCGGGTCCATCACCATGGTAACTTAGCTGAACGGCTAACCTGCTCCGCAGCA